TGCCCACACAGCTGTTAGCCTTATGTACAACAGAGACAGGGTGGATTGGCACTGCATACGTTTCACATACCCTTTATTGCCTATTGGCCCTGACCATCAGGAGTGTCCATTCAACACAAGCTGGGCTGCTCAAGGAAATCTGTCCACAATGAGTAATCACCATGCGAAAGGTCCATCTATGGCTTGAATTGCAACGCCAATGCAAAAGCCAACAGGCCTCTTCAAAGTTCTCTCTGTTTTTGTGGGTGAAATTAATCATGCCTGCAACCAAACTCCTGTGGCCAGGGCAAAGGACAGGACTGATCCCAACCTACCGTTTCAAACCCTCTGCAGATTCACTTGGGAAGAAGCTGCACTGAGCTCAGCTGGGCTACTTCCAAGTACACACGCATGGAACTGAACTGCACATTTTGCATCATATACCTAGTCTTGGTTCAACTGGGATTTGTGTGTATGCATACACGAAAAATACACAAGAACTTCCATACTGAGCTTGTACACTTCAGCAAGTGTTTGCTCAAGAAGGGGAAAAAAATACAGTGAAAAGGAGACATTTCCTGAAGACAGTTCTGGCTTCTACAGATTTCAGCAGGCTACTTTAAAGAGCCCTGGGTGCCAGGGGAAAGGGGGGAAGCATCACAAGAAAGGCAATACTTTAGAATTTGGCTTTATATACAGTAAAATGCCCCAACAGCTATACAAAAAACATATTCTTATTAAAACATAATAATAATAATAATAATAATAATAGATAATAATAGTTACCCAGCTATTTACAAAAACACACTGTAATAAAGAATAGCAAACTTACAGCAGCATCAGTCAGTTGTGCACCAAAACACACAAGTTTTGAATGTTTTTATGTTCAGGCTTCAGCAGCTGACCTTCACTGCACAGTGGTGCAGGATTTCCCTGAAGACCAAGGGACACAGTTTGTACCCTACTTCCTGTATTCCACCAATACAAGGGATTGCCATACGCTATAGTCCACATAACTACAGCACACAGATGTTGCAATCCCTGCAGAGATGCAGCAGCCTACCTACCGGCACGTGAGAAGATCCCATTAACAGCACTGAGTGAAGTTGTCCTTCCCAGTGGCCATTTCCAGAACGGATGACCTTTGTTCTGAGGGCCACCTGTGGAGGTGAGGGACTCTGCTTTAACATTTCTGCAGTACAGGAGGGCCTGACTTTAGCATTGTTTCCTCGCAAGCCCTGCCCCTGCCTGGACACAGAAGCAAATTCAAAACAAAGCTGAAAACGCCACAATCCTGGGAAACCTGGCTTGGCCATTTACATGGTTTCTGCTGTGAAAGGACTTTCGGAGGCCTGCTTCACATATGACAGAACACCTAACTGCAAATTCGCTTCCACAAAGGAATGTGTGTGTGGATTTCAACAGAAAGCCCGACCTCTTGGTGAATGTGCATGCGTCTATTTACACCACTCTCTATTTATTTATAAGATATTCACTCTATTTCCCCCCCCAATCCTAGTTGGAAAAATAAATATTTAAACAGTTCTAATGCACCACATAGTTATGCCAATGTCAGCACAGTAACAAGGACCCTAAATCATGAAAAATCATGAAAAATGAACTTCTAAAAACTTGCTAGAATGGAGGGGTATGAGTGTCTGAAAGGGAGAACCAGAACGTTCCCCCCTCACCTAAGGGATCCTTCTCAGTCTCACGTCAGACAGATCAGGGAAAGGTCCAGTTCTATAGGTGATGAAAGGCTACACTTGGCAACTAAATGTAACATCTTGGGAAAGTAACTGAATGGACGACATTGTTAATGCTCATTTCTGTTACCCTTAACACCTACAGCAAATGGGGTTGTTTGGTTTGGGGTTTTCCCATTAATTTGCTTCATAACATAAGCTGAACTTGGCAGACCTTGACAGGCGGCACCTGGAACCTTCAACCAAGCTGAATAACGCACTTTCAATCCACTTTAAGTAATCATCTGCAAGTGGATTTTGCCATTTCACACAGTAAAATTCAGTGGCAAAGTGCATTGAAAGTGCATTATTCAGGCAGTGTGAAAACGCTACTTGACTCCAGCTGACATTCAAAAAGCAGCAACAAATTGGGCACTGGCTTGATGGCCTTGCTCTCAACACCTGGCCCAGCAGGGCAACAATCAGCAGCTCCAACTGGAGGGCATTCCAGGAAGCAGGTCTGATTCCACGGGGGAATGTGGAACTCTACAGGCTTCTATGCAGAAGTGACTGGGGAGTGGGAATTGTGTTATGCATGAAAATGATGCTCAGAGCAAGTAGGGCCCAATTGATTGGGGAGGTTTGGGCTCAAACTTTATCTCACTTTATAGCCTCAAATGTGACACTGGGGACCCATGACTGGACCTTCTTGGGGGGTAATTTAGCCTCAAAAACCAGCCATGGGCACAGGCTGGGGTAGAAGATATAGGTCAGAGCTGTGGTGCTGAGAAAGGAAGAAGAGTTGGGTTTATACCCCACTCTTCACTACTCAAAGGAGTCTCAGAGTGGCTTAAAATCACCTTCCTTTCCTCTCCCCACAACGGGCACCATGTGAGGTAGGTGGGGCTAAGAGAGTTCTGAGAGAACTGTGACTGACCCAGCAGGCTTCATGTGGAGGAGTGGGGAATCAAACCCAGTTCTCCAGATCTGAGTCCACGGCTCTTAACCACTACACCACTCTGGCTCTCACCATGCTTCCCTGATCCAAACAGCCCCCCCCCCCTCCAGGGCTGCTTTTAGCCATAATGAGGAAGAGGGGGGAAATGGTAGGCTTGATACTGGTATTTGTCGTCGTCCCCCAAAATAACACAGCCTGGAAATGGGGGCAGTTTTGATTGGGGAAATTGAGGGGGTGGCAGGTGTTAGAATAGCTCACAAAGTTTTGAAAACCTAATCCACATTGTCGCCCTACCAGTGTTCCCTCTAAGCTGAGTCAGTGTGAGCTAGCGCTCCGTTTTTTAGCCTCCGGCTCACACGTTTTTGTCTTAGCTCCGGAAGGAGGGCTCCAGAGCAACCTAATTTATGCAGCCAAATGGCTGGCTCACAACTTTAATGCCAGTAGCTCACAAAGTAGAATTGTTGCTCACAAGGCTCCACAGCTTAGAGGGAACATTGCTACTGACTGCTTTTGGAGGCTAGGGTTGCACTTCTGGGGATCAGTGACTGGATCATCTACATCATGTCGGGCTCACACTCGGTAACATAGATTTGTATGCCCTGATCAAACTAGACAAAAGCTCTGGAACGGAGTGCAGTAAAAAAATCTTCCAATGCAGGGAAGAATCAATTTATCTATAAATAAAATTCAAAGTGCTTCGAGCCACAACCCAGCCCTTCACTAGTGAAACCTTATCCACACATGGCCTACACGTGGACCTTCATTTGTCCCCGTGTTCCCCTAATGAAGAGCCAGGCATGGTTCAAACTTTTGCTTTACTGATCATTCAATTCTTCTCTGTGCTTTTAGACCATTCTCATGCTGACCTAATTTACGAGCTATAGCAAAGTCGCTGCCAGGAAGCGAAGAGGTGCGTTAATTTAGCATTTTAAAGTGCCAAATGACAGAACAATCAAGAGACTTTGGATGCCACAAGGAAAAGTTTTCCTCTGAACTTCCTCAAACTCAGGAAGAAATGAACCCCTTCTCCAAAACAAGATTTCCCTTTTTTCTAAGTGCCACTATTTTCCAAACAATATGCCTCCTATAATATATAAAGCAGCTAAACATAAATACAAAACAAATTTAAAAAAAAAAGAAAAAAGAAATGTCAGGGTCTCCAAAAGAAAAACCATGCGTACACATACACCACTTGGCAGAAGAGTTTTACATAAAGAATCTGCATGAATTTGAATTTCTTTTCCTTTGGAAATCCACATTTTTACAAAGAGGCAACCCTCTGTCTGTGCATAGATAACGTTTAACAAACTTCGGTGATTCTCCCGACCCCCCACCCCGACTCACAGGTGGCTCCTGCTGCCTCTGAGGACACCTCACTCCTATTCAAGTACATGTATGTTCCAGGAGAATTAATCCACCAAGAGCATGAAATCCTACCTGGAGTACAGCACAGCTGAGACGGACTCTCAAGCCACCCTGATGAAAGAGGTTTACCAAAAGAGAGAATACCATTTCACTGACAATCTGAAAACTGCCCTGTGAGTGCAGCTGCCACACCCACACACACCTCCGTCTAACAACGTGCAGTAAACTCACATGCATTTGTGCCTCAGACTCAGGCGTCTAGCTGCAGACAAAAACGCTCCTTGCTGTTTGTACTACATCTCTACCCCACATGGCAAAATGGGGGCGGCAGCCACAATATTTCTGCTTAAGTGACCATGTACTTTTCTTACGTTTTCTAGATGGGCAATAAACGAATGCCGGTTCCTACTCCATGCCAGAAAAAGCCAAATCCAGCACACACCCTCCCAACAAACTTAGATTAAGCAAACAAGTAACTCCGTTTTGACAGTCTTGGCAGCTGCCTGTGGCAGAAATCAGGTTCAAATCCTACCTCAGTCATGAACTCACCGGATGACTGAATACAGTCCTTTTCCTCTCAGCTTCAATTGCCTCACTTACAGGGTTATGGGGAAGAAACTCCCAAGAACTGGGAAGCATTAACCACAGACCAGTGTTTTACACAGGATGAGACTAACACCCCACCTCACGGCAGTCATACAGAGATAACGCTTGAGTTTTGCAGATTCAAGCAACTGACAGGTAGGAGATGAACAGGGAACCACGAATTCTACATAGCACTATATCATAAGCTAGACGCTTTTCTCACAAGCAGCAGGCTCTGCTATTTGCCAAACAACTGTTTGTATCACAAGAATAAGAATTCAACCTGCAAGCAACTATCCCTAAGATGGCTGCAACATGGCATTCCAAAGCACAGGAATCATTTACCTGCACGCACAAAAAAGTCAAGTACAGTGATTAAATTACACCACTCAGTGTTTGCCTTAACCAGGTTAATCCTAGGGGTACTTTCATACCATACAGGAGGTTATTATTTATGTCTTTGTTTAGGCATGGCCCCCTTCTTTGTGGTGGTCCAACTTGTGTTATCTTTGCAGATAATGCATAGTCTGCTCCATTTAAATCCAGGTATGGTACCCTAAAGCATTCATTCGCCAGCTTGGTCTCACAGCAGCACTGGACGTGAACTGGCATACAGAAGAGCGGTTTTCTTGCCATACAGTTAAAACCAAAAGAGGGAGGGGGGAGGGAAAGAAGGGACGAAAGAAGTCTGCCAACACTGGGCCACAGTGTTGCTTGGGAGTATGCCAGACGTTTGGATTTTTCCTTGTGATCCCTTATAGCTGCACCACCAAGGTAAAAACTAGCTGCAAGAGGCGTTGGTGGGACACAGAGGCCCACCTGACGTTCCACAGAATAAAATACTTCCAGATCCAAGAGAGAAGGTCTCCCTCCCCGCCACTGATGATGCTCAGTGTCTGTTTTTAGGTATCATGCTGTCAATCACTTGCACGTGTCCGTGTTGTTGTCTGTACTTCTTTCTGCATCCGTTGGTGCTGAGTACGAGGCCTCCACGCTGTGCCATATGCCATAGCCTAAATAAATAACAAAACCTGAAGGAAAGAACAAAGCATTAGAGAGGGCGGGCAGGCCTTTGATGGCACACAGGCTATATCTATTACCTCAAGAAAACGCCTTAGCTAATACAGTTTGGTGTGGTGGTTAAGTGCGCGGACTCTAATCTAGGAGAACCGGGTTTGATTCCCTAGTCCTCCACTTGCAGCTGCTGGATGACCTTGGGCAAGCCATAGTTCTGTCAGAGCTGTTCTTGAAAGAGCTTTCTCAGCCCCACCTACCTCACAGGGTGTCTGTTGTGGGGAGGGAAAGGAGATTGGAAGCCGATCTGAGACTCCCTTTGGGTAGTGAAGGGCGGGGTATAAATCCAATATTTTCTCTTCTTGTTGTTCAGTGGCTCAGGAGCCACCTGTGGCTCTTCTGAGCACCATTACCCCATGTGGCACCCACCCCATGTCTCAAGAAAGTGGACAAGACCAGTGGCCAGTAGGGCTTGTGGGTGGCAGGTAGTTCCCACCTTGAAACATCCTCTGCTGGAGGATGAGACACTACATGTTCAGAAAAACTCTGGTAATTAAAAAGCTTGTATTTACATATTTCATATTTATATCTTATATCACCGTATGTGTTTGGTGAGGTGGCACACAAAGCATGCAGTACTTATGCAGCTCTTTTAGTTGATGGTAACTAGAAACATTGCTCTCCACAAGTCACGAAGTTAGTACCACTGAGCTAATAATTTTTTGGCTCATTCTCACAGCCAGTACAACAAACATATTCCTGTTTTCCTTAGGGAAACTTATTGCCACAAAGCTTAAGCTTGAGGTCTAGGTACATTAAGGTAAAATTAGTGAACAAGAGCTCTTGACCTACCTACAAGATTAAGGAAGTAATCCATACTACAACTTAAGGCAGGACCTCTTATTTGTATGGTTCAAGTGTTAAAGTCATTATAAGGTGATATATCCCTGTCATATATACGCTCTTTTCAGAGCATAATAAAGAACAGGAGCTCTCTGACCCTGGCCATATAAAATGTTGGTTTTTAACTATACACTATGCCTACTTAAAAATGACAAAGGGTTGTTCCTCACTGTGTGCTTTCTATAACAGGATCTTGCAAACTAATTTACAGCATGGCCTGAAGAATTAGAGACCCAACCTAGAAAAAACAAGAGTAGAGAAAGAGGAAATAGTGGTGGAGGGGGAAATGAGACAGCCCCCCACAAATCCCTGCGGGTCCCCTGCTCACATTTAGAACAGAAATTCAAACACCCACTATTGAACACACCTATTGACATCCAGATAGCAAACCGTATCCAAGTGCCACTGTCCAGCTGCATCATGAGATAAATATTCACAAAGATGCTCAGGATTGGAAGGACAGGCAGAAAGGGAACCTGGAAAACAAAACAAACACAGCTGTACTTCTGGGACACATCTAGAGGGAGGTATGAAGCTGTTCGCACAGCCACTTTCTCATAAGGTCAGATAAACAAATCAAGGGATGGCTTGATTGCAGATCACTTGCTACTAAAGTAAATTTCTAACATCACCTGATCACTGGAAGGAAACGGGGGAAATTTACATGTTTACTCCAATATAACTACAGTTTCAAACTGAATGTGGAAACCACTCTCAGTGAGTGAAAAGTCACCTGTGTCAAGAATTTCCCCTGGGATGTGCTACTGTCAAATCCACAGGAAACATCTGTCTTACTGTGGATATATTTGGTCATCAGCTTTCTTGTTAAAACCAACAGCAAAACATGTCAGCTCATTAATTTTATCAATGTTTTATCTAAATGTTTCACAAAGATCTCAAATAAACAAGAAAATTAAGAATTAGAAATACAAAAGAATCCGTGAGCCTTAAATCAACCAAAGAGCTGCTGCTGAGGGATAGTCTTGCCCTATTCCTATTTCAAGGTCCAAATATCCCTTTGGAGGCTCCAATGAACATCAAGCTAGCAAAAATTGGATTTTTTTGGTTGCCTTCCTACCATGAGGCATGCCTGGACCCCTGGTCTGCCACCCTGATGACCACCCTGCTACCACAAGCCCCTTTTACTGGGACAAAGTCCAAGTGAGAATACAGAACCTAGCCTACCACATTTTTTTCTTAACAGGTCATTATCAGCCTAGCAAACAGCCCAGAATTGCACACCTGAAAGTCATGTTGGGTTCCAATCACCCTTCACACCCAGATCCTAAAGAAAAACCTCAGGATACAACAGCTAGCTTCTAGGAATCTGTATGAGAAATGTCTCTCCCATCCCAGGTTTTCCAGTGGCAGAATGGAACTTTCCTGACTGTCCTCTTCCACTGTAGTCAGGAATAGAAAAGGGCCAACTCTAAAAATCTAATCATAAAATATACAAAAATATATATGTGTGTTTATTCAACATAAATTAAAATAACAAACAAGGGCCCATTTATACCTCATATAAAACTATAAAAACATACAAGGGCTAATAAGATAGAAAGTTTAAAGGTCTTTTGATTTTTAGAGTTGGCCCTTTTCTATTCCTGACTAACCTTTTTAGGTTCTGAATTTGTGAAACTGAGACCTTTAATTAAACTAGATTGATCCATAGTGAATACATTTTTGATCAACACTGCTTTTAACCTAAGGAACATTTGGAACATTTGGCTGTACAACCTTAGATGAATATACAGTTGACCAGAGAGAAGTACCACTGGACATGTGATTTCACTGGAGGATTCATTTGTATTTCTGTATTTCTTTTCCTTGCCCAGTGGTTAAACTTTGGAACAATTGGTCTCTGGCCTTTATTCCATATTTTGTATATGTAGAATTGTATGTATTTTTACACATCAGCCTATATGTTCTGTATGTATTAGACCTCTGAAGAAGGCCTGTAAAAGCCGAAACGCGTCAGGTCTATCTGATTAGGTCTATCTTATTAGCCCTTGTATGTTTTTATAGTTTTATATGAGGTATAAATGGGCCCTTGTTTGTTATTTTAATTTACGTTGAATAAACACACACATATATTTTTGCATATTTTATGATTAGATTTTTAGAGTTGGCCCTTTTCTATTCCTGACTAACCTTTTTAGGTTCTGAATTCTAGATTTAGGTTCAGTTTTTCCCCCCTTTTTTCTTCTTTGTCCTCTTCCACTGTAGGCCACTGATCTCTTGGGGGACAGGAAACCCTGAGGAATGACCACCCAGGGAGGTCTGCAGCAGGAAAGGGGGCAATTAGTGGAAATTGCCAATTTCGTCTGGATCCACCCGATATATTGCCTTTTCTGGGTCAGGGCTTACTTTTTTTTTTTAATGCACAGAGCTCTTGACTACTTCTAGATTTGAAGCACCCACACGTGTGGGTGTGCATTTTTTGCCATTCAGTGAGAAGGAAGAAGTGCAGCCCAGCCTACCCTCAGCCTGACCTCTGTTAAGACAGGCAGACAGAAAAAGGAGCACCAGGAGGGCTGAAGGCCAAATCTGAGGTGCATTCTAGCTGATCTGCGTGGGAAAGTTTGCCCTGTAGTCGTTTCCCACCACCACCACCACCACCCACCACCAGTCTGTTTTCTTCTAGCAAAAGCAGCCTTCCATTAATCTCTCCCTGAATGTGAGAAGCCAGCAGACCCTGGGATTGCTTTTCGCAAGCCACTTTCTTGCAGGCGGCTTACCTTGAAAGAGAGTTTGGTTTTGCTTTCAGGTTGCCTCCAAATAACCACGGTGACAACAAAGCAGAGGAGGAAATCTATAACAAGCAGGCTGATAGCCCACGTGGTCCCGTTCATCAGAGCCTCTTTGCCAAGGACAGCTAAGCAGCAGAAGGTGATGATAAGGAAACCTGAGAACAAGATACACCGAGACGTTTGTTATCCTAAAACAGTGGGAGGGAGGGGATGCTGCAGTTTTAAAGCCAAGTCAATTTTGAATTGTAAAACCACCAGGAGCAGCCACACAAACAGGTGTAGGTTGAAGCATTCCATCGCTTCCAATGCCCATTTGCTGTACTGCTTAAGGCCAACCAGATGTTTTCTTAAAGCTTACCCTTCTTTGTTGGGTTTACTGGTATCCCTGTGCCTTTAACAGCTTGCATAAAGCAGGCAAAAATGCAGCAAGCAAGCAAGCAGATGTTACAAGTCAATTCCACCAAGATCTTGAGCTAAGAATTATGACAAACCTTTGTGCAAGTGTTAGCTCAGTCATGTGCTGGCCAGGTATGCCCCGGCCATTATCCTCAGCTGTAGAAACTTATCACAAATGGATAAAAGTACTGGGTTCTGGAAGACTTTCTCACATAAGAAGAAGAGATTGGGTTTATACCCCATGGCCCTTCACTACCCAAAGGAGTCTCAGAGCGGCTTACAAACTCCTTTCCCTTCCCCTCCCCACAATGCCACAGTGTTGTCTTTAATAAACCCTTTCTGTTTAATTAATTCTCTCTGCCTGGGTCAATCAAGCCTGTGTGTTCTCGGCTGTCAAAGGGGCATTTTGTATGTGCTTGAGAGGGTGCCCTGGGGCGTCTCAAAAGGGACCATAAGTCCAGGGTGGTGGCAGCGGAAGGCGGAGACCCCCTGGGGTCATGACAACCTTATTTACTCAACGGACACAGTCCCACCACTTCCATCAGCCCTGAACCAACAAGCAAGGCCACCTCTCTTACCTATGATACAGGAGGAAACATTCACTATAAACCCAGAGAGTTTGGACGGATCAGAGTTTTGGGGGGAGAGAACAGCTTTTAGGGAGCACTTCTCTTCTTCCTCTGGTAGAAACCCAACCTGGGATTCACTAGTGCTCACAGACTCATTGTTGTCTACTTCATCCGTTGTGCTGGCCATCTGGTATGCCAAATTGGGCTGCTCAGGTTGGTACCTAAGGAGGAGGAAACTGAGTTAGCAGACACCATATCACCTGTAACAACAAGGAAGGCTGGCCTAGTTTTTGTTTCTGTTTTCTTCCACCTGGTTATCATCACAGATGAGTCTCAAGAAATGGGATGGCCGAACATTACCTAAATATTTTTAGATTTATCCACAGCAATGCTCAGAGCTGCAGTTACTGCACACCACTGTTAAACTGGTGGTGGTGGTGGAGGAGGAGGAGGAGGCAGCAGACACCCTGTGAGCAGTGTTCCCTCTAAGCTGAGTTAATGTGAGCTAGCTCACAGTTTTTTAGCCTCCAGCTCGCACATTTTTGTCTTAGGAAGGATGGCTCCAGAGCAAACTAATTCATACAGTAGCCAAATTGTTCGCTCACAACTTTAATGCCAGTAGCTCACAAAGTAGAATTTTTGCTCACAAGACTCCACAGCTTAGAGGGAGCATTGCCTGTGAGGTATGAGGGGCTAAGAGAGCTCCAAGAGAGCTGCTCTTTCAAGAGCAGCTCTGACAGAACTATGGTTCGCCCAAGGTCATCCAGCAGCTGCAAGTGAAGGAGTGGGGAATCAAACCTGGCTCTCCCAGGTTAGAATCCGTGCACTTAACCACTACACCAAACTGGCTCTCTTACACTGAAAACCCAGGGATCAGACATACCTGTATGCTTTCAGCTACCACCCATAACTCTAAAATAATCTATATTCTACAGTCAAGCACTAAGTTAGAAAGACTTCTGTGAGATTTTTCCATATCACATGCATTTAATGAAGTGAGGTCTGACTCTTGGAAGCCTATATTGGAATAAACTTTGTTAGTCTTTACAGTACCAAAGAATGTCTGTTTTACTTTACTGTAATCTCCTTAGACAAATCAAACCTGCTCTTCTCTATACCCTCATATTTAGTTATAGTATTTATATCCTGCCTATCTCTATAGTCTCAAGGTGGCTACACAAGGGCATTCTGAGGATATCCACCATTTAAACAAACCAAGGAACAGGTGCACAAAACTGCCCCAAGAATCAAACCCAAGAAATCCCAGAATATCCATACTGATATAAACCTCAAAGACTGTGAGGACCTTAGTACTGGATCTAGAAGTGAGTTCTCTACATCTGATGTTGCCCCTTTTCCTGGTTAATTTTAGTCCCTACACACAACACAAGGTCCTGGTTCCATATAGAGTCAGATCTATAATCATTTATTGTTAAAAGTAGAAAACAAGCAATAATGACAAGCTTAAGTACTTTTTTAACTACAATTTGTGGAAAATCATTCTAACTTTTTAAATCAACCCCACAACAGCTGCTAGCCCTAAAAAAAAATTTTTTTAAAGGCTTCTGGGAAGAGGCTACACAGCCTTGTGATTAGAGGTGTCACAAGCAGATGTTATGCTAAGCAGTTTGCCAAAACAAATAAAGACAAAGGAGTTTGTCCAGGCAGCTGTTCTGCTGAAGGAGTTATCATGCATATGGCACAGGCACCTGGGCATAAGGAAGCTGCAAGCTTTCTGCACCCAAGATTGGGTGAGTGTAAAAGCAGAAGGGACCTCAGAAGTCCAGGCAGTGATGCTCCTGAAGCAGACGCTCTCTTGAGATGAGCATTTATCCTTTGGCTGCTGAATGGATACCAAATTCTCAAAAGGCCTTGAACTGTCTCTAGCGGCTGTGTATTGCTCCTTTTGAGCACAAAGAAATTATTTAAAATGAATTCTGCCATGTCTGTTTCCGAACAGGTCCACCTTTTGTTGGGGGGAAGTGCCGTCAAAGCACAGCCGACTCACAGCAACCCCGTAAGGTTTTCAAGGAAAGAGACTTAACAGAGGTGGTTTGCCATTGCCTGCCTCTGCGTAGTGACCCTGGACTTCCTCGGTGGTCTCCCACTCAAATACTAACCAGGGCTGACCCTGCTTAGCTTCTGAGATCTGACTAGCCTGAGCCATTCTTTACATCCACTATAAAAGAGGCTACAGCTCCAGATCAGCAACCTTTTATGAAGAGCCAAACTAAGCCAAAATCCAAAGCAAGAGATCAGCAAAGAGCCCATACAAGACAACCCAGTCATATACCTGAAACTATACAGCTTTACATCTCCCTTATATATAAAAACCAAATGGTGGTAGCACTTCTCTAGAACATTCCACACGCTCCGGAATTGGTTGGCACCCTGGTGTGTCACTCAGAATCTCTCCCTGTCCACTGGCTGCATTGCTTGAGTCTCGCCTCCAACATTTGCTGTTCCTCTCCCCCCCATAGCCAGTCAGAACACAGAGGTTATTTGCATATGCAGCCTCATTGGCCTTTGCCTCGGAACACAGAGGTCGTTTGCATATGCAACTTGATTGCCTTTTGCCTCTAACATTCTAAACAGTTTGCTCTTCTGAGGTAAAACGTGTCCAATCTCCAGGTGAGGGCTGGAGATCACTCAGAATTACAACTGCTTTCCAGATGGCAGAGATCAGTTCCCCTGGAGAAAATGGTGGACTCAGTGTCATTATACCCTGCTGAGGTTGCCACAGCACATTGACACTGAGTGTCCAAGGCCGGGGTACTCGCCCAGAGCCTCTTTCTAGACTTCTTTGTGTGTTTTTCCTCAATGGGGCTTTTTTTGTGTGTGTGTGTGTGTGTGTGTGTGTGTGTGTGTGTGTGTGTGTGTAAAGTCCCCTCACCGTAAAATCAATGCCCAGGTCAAACCGCTGGATCTAGAGAAACCAAATTCGGGGAGAGCACTCCCATCGTGGCGTGGGTACTCGCTAAGAAGGGATTTGTAGAAATCCGACCCCTAAGTGGGTCAAAGGGGGGGAAATGTGCTCCCCCCACTGATTTCTAGGAGGCTGCCAGGCAGCTCGCTCCCTGCACCCCCCCACTCTCTGATTGGTCAGCTGCAGAGCTCACAGTTCTGAGGTAAAAAAAACCCCAACAGTTACAGGAGACTGCAGACAGCTAATGACAGTTGAGGAAATCGGGAGTGGCCAACAAGCACCTGTGAGGTTCAATAATGCTGCTGGCCCAGCCTCTCCGATGACTTCCAACACACTCCCCCCCACACACCTAACAGGCGGTTGTCTGTCGAGTGCAGCCCCACCTCCACAGTGGCTTCTAATACTCCTCCCCCCTCCCCCTCCTACAATGGCCCAGCAACTTCTAATACTCCTCCCCCCTCCCCCTCCTACACTGGACAGGCAGCTGCCTGTCAGGTGTAGGAGAGGTGGGATGGCTTCCAACACACTCCCCCCCACCTCCTACACCTAACAGGCAGTTGTCTGTCGGGTGCAGCCCCACC